ACTTTGGTTTCTGAATTCCCGTCATTGACTTCCTCGAAATCTACAATCCGTCCTTCGATGCTGTACACAGGTTTTGATCTTCTCTTTGATGGGAACTTCTCGAGGTCTACACCAGCTTGTATGCATAGCTCGAGAACCGCAGAGATTTTAGGGACAGTAAATCTCTCATCATGTATAACTCTCGGTTTGACAGCACGGTCATAGAGGTGAAAACATTTTGGAAACAACACGACATCACTCGCTCTTCCTCTTTTCCAGACGTGAGTCGCACTTCTTGAACCGCTCCCCGGGCCTTTGCAAGTCCTGATTTCATGACCTTCCTTGCCAATGTGAACCTCAGAGCAGAATCTGAGAACAACAAAAATCACAAGTAACTCAGCCTTCGAACTTCAGAACTAGATGAAACCGACTAAAGTCTCCATTGTTTCGACGCATTTCTCATTTTTCCCTCAAATATTTTCGCAAACTGTAAACTAAAGTGTGAAACTTTCATGTAAAGTTTATGATTCATTTGACGGAAAACACAATATAACATGTAACTGTAAACGCAGAAGCAAAATCAATTTAGAGAGTAACTCACTAATTTACCAGCTCAAGAACAATACTACGGGGAAGATCACACTAGATCGTCAGGTCCACTAAGTAAAACCAAACAAAACATCCATAAGTTCATTGTTTCCAATTCCAAATGCTAGAAATGCTTCAATGATCGAAATGAAAAATAGCTCAACAGTGAAGATTTCTAGTTTAAACAGGCAAGAGGAATTCAGAAAATCAAAATAGAGAATGGGACATAGTTAACCTGCAACGATGAACAGAGATATGATGATGAATGATTTTAGAAAGACCAGAGAGTAACGAGGCGCGGCAACGGTGAACTCGATGAGCTACGTCGACGAGTTCCGGCACGAGTAACCCATTATCCGGCGGATCTTCCAAAACCCGACAAGGCTGTGAATTTCTCAGTTGTTTCTCCTCCTTGGCCCGACGAATCAACTCCTTCATCGGAGTTGGATACGGCTTCCTCTCCGATTTATCCTTCCGTGGCTTGGGTACGTCGACGTAGAGAGGATCGTCGACATTATCAAGTGTTGTTGAAGAGAGAAGGTCGAGATTTGTTAGGGATTTTGTAGAAGATGAGAAATGCGATTTGCTGATTACAAAGACGGAGATTTGCAAAAGCTTTCTTCTCTGCATTTTTTTTTTCTTTTTCCAATCAAAGGCTTAAACCCTTCGAAGCTATTAATTATTTATGTTTGGGCCCAATATTTTATTTAAGGCCCAATAAAGCTAAACCAACCGTGAACCGATTCTAACCAAAAAATTCACCCACCGGTCTACTTGGTTTTGTCGAATTTCTCTGTGTCGTCTCTTTTTGTTTGATACATTTGCACGAAACTTTTATTCATCTTCAACATGAAGAGCGTTCTACGTTTGAGTCTTTTAAAGCCAAATTCGAAGATTCGCTCAAGTTTTTGGTTTTCTTTTGTTCATTTTTTCTGGGAATTTACAAATAAACCGAAGCGGTTTTGTGTAATTATCTCAAACGGATAATGCAGATAAGGTGTTCGACAGAATTCCGCAATGAGCAAAATTGGGTCGTTGTTTGTCCACGTGGGTGTCACGTGATAAAAGCGAGACTCTTGAGTACCTTGCCGTTATGTTCGTTGATATTCCCCGCCTCTACTATAACAAATTTCTCTCTCAAGAAAAAAAAGCTCTCGAGACCAAGAAAGCGAAAGGATCTTGAGAACTCGTCGTCACTATGGATTACCTTCTCACGAAGGCTAAAGATTTCTTCGCGGAAGGAGATCACATACGTGCCTTGGCGATCATTGACGAATTGATTCTAGTCCATACGGAGCCAAAGGAATCATGCGTTCTTCACTTCGAGCAAGGTAAACTGTTCATAGAACTAGCGAAGAAAACAGAGAACCCTGATGTTGAATTCGCATACGTATTGGGAGCTGTAGCATGCGTTTCCGAATTTGTCAAGCTATCAAATTTCTGTGCACATGGACTCTTCGATTTGGCAAACCAGAGTGGGTTAGTCGTGTATTACAAGAAATCCTTGAAGAAAGCAAACCAGGCTATATCTATCGCTCTCCCATTCATAGGCGAGGATTCTGTTGCTGAAAGTTCTGTTGCTGAAAGGGCTAAGCGAGAGAAACTAAAGGAACGGTCTAAGAAACTTGAGGATTTGATCGAAAAGGCAGAGCTCAAGATCGCTGAATCCAAGACTTCTCCTTTAGAAAAATGCGACTCAGAGTCAAAGATTTGTGAGTCAAAGGTTTGCGAGTCAAAGAAAAATCCAGATCTGTTGAAGAATGAGAAGAAAGAATTGAGGCAGTATTGGTCGGGATTGGATATTAAGATCAAAAGGGAGTTTTTGAAAGTAAGAACTGCAGAACTTTTAAGTTTTGCTGAGGGAGTACATAACAGAAAGGCACGAGATGCTTTGGAAGAAATTCTCACTTCTGCTAAGGAAGACAGAAAATGGAAATTCTGGATGTGTCGAACTTCATGTTCGAAAAAGTTTTCTAGTGCTGAAGAATGTAGGAATCATCTTGAGCAAGAACATGCTGCAGATTTTAAACCTTCTTCAGAAAAGGATATGGTCAAGAGGATAGGGAAAGACTGGGCTCGTAAGATATCGCCTGGAGCTTGGGAACCAGTGGATGCAGTAGCAGCTGTTGAAATGTTCAAGAACCCGCTTGCAGATGTGAAAACGTTTAAATCTAATAATGGATGGTCAAAAGAATGGCCTTTAGCTGTGGACGAAGAGCGCAGTAAGTTACTCAAGGAAATCAAATCCCTCCTTATGTCGGTTCATGACCATAAAGTTCTCTCCTCTAGCATTCGAAACTGGCTGATAAGTTTTCCGGTTAGACATCTTGGAAAACTTGAAGTTTCCGAACAGACTTTTGATGATTTTCATCTAGTGAAAACTCCTCAGAGTATCTGCTTTTTGGAATGTCATGACCTCATTCACATCCGAGACTTTCTAAAAACTATTAAGTGCGAAAGGGATGATGGTACAGATCTGGTTTCCAGAGCAGTGGACAGTTTCTTGAGTCGTACTCGAGTTAAAGAACCGATCGACTTTGACCCTGAATTTTCAGTTCTGCTTCTGGATAAAAGACTGTTAAAAAGCAATTATGCTCCATGTGATGATGAAGGGACCATCAATGTTTTCGATCCCGATGTTCATTACGCCAAGGCACATGCTCAGGGAGATGATATCATATCCTGGTTAGTTGACTACGCATCAGTAGATAAGATCTTTCCCAGACCTATCAGGGAACACAATCTAGATATCTGGGTGGCTGTTCTGAGAGCTGTTCAGTTCACATGTAGAACTTTGGGAACCAAATATGCAAAGAAAGTGCAGGTCTTAGATTATGATGCAGCTCTTACTGTCATTGAGAACTTGTGTAAGAGCGAAGATGAAAGAAGAAGGAATCTTCAGGAAGAGCAATGGAATAGATATGCATCTCTTCTATGCGATAAATGTGAAGAGAGTGTCCCCGCAAATTCCCTTAGTGCAAAATTACTCTTGTGTGCTGTACGAGATGTTCTCGAAGGAGCATCGCATCCAAAATATGATATGCCCCATTTAGAAGATTGCCTGCGTAGCATACGTGAGGGTATAAGTCGCAGTGATAATTTAGTGTTGAACTCCATACACCTCCTGAAATTAGTGGTCGCCCAGAAGGTTCATTTCGTGATTTGAATATTCATTAACAACAGAATAACAGAAAATTGTCTATCTAAAAGTATCTACATGACTTGCAGGTTCTGCTATTGGATTCAAAGATTTTGCTGATTGATAATACAAGGATTAGATTGCTAGACAACCTCACAAGGCTTTCTGTTTTTGACAACCGCACTTATATGCTTCAACTGCTGAAACCTTTCTTGCTGGTTGGTTTGAAACTTTTGTTATATACATATGAAATTTGGTTTTTCTGTTTGATTTGGTTTTTGACAACCGCACA